ACAGTCGTTTTGAGCCTCTATCTTGAAGAATCTCCATTCCAAGAAATTTCTTTGTAGCACCCAAGTGTTTCATATTAAATTCCTGGCTCAATAAAGCTTTCAAACCAAGGGCATCATGCATATTCTTTGCAACAAACAGTATATCGTCAATATGCAGTTACAGAAAAAAATAAAAGAACCATCATCAAGGCTTTTAACATATATAGAAAAACTATATACACATTGCTTGTAATCAATCTTAATCATATATGAGTCGAACCACTTGTACCATTGTATCGGAGACTATTTCAACCCATACAACGATATCTTTATTTTGAAAACCATATGCTATTGTCCAGGTTGAGTGAACCCTTCTGGCTGCTCCATGTAAATCTGCTCCTCCAGATCACCATGCAAGAATGCAGTTTTAACATCCATCTGATATAGATGCAGATCCCATATCGCTACTAATGCAAGCACTGCCCTGATTGAAGTATGTTTGACCACAGGAGAAAAGGTTTCAACAAAATCTATCCTCTTCTGCTGTGAAAATCCCTTTGCTACTAGTCAAGCCTTGAACTTTCCCACTTCTTTTTCTGATACTGCTGGTTTTCTTTTGTACACCCACTTGTACCCAAAAACATTCTTTCCCTCAGGAAGCTGAACTCCCATGTATGATTTTTTCTACAAAGACTTTATTTCCTCAACCACTGCACCCATCCATTTCTCTTTCTCCTCGTTGGTGATAGCTCCTTGAAAGGTGACTGGATCATCACTACTGATGAGAAGTGCACAAGTGAACAAGTCTTCATAACCCAATCTACTTGGAGGCCTTATATTGGTGTGTCTCTATCTATATCTTACTAGAATGTTATTCTGCAGATCATCTGTATTGGAATCACTAGGTGTTGGATTTGAATTTTTGACTTTCTCAACAGTTACCAGATGTTGTTTTAAATTCATCTACACTGTATCTGAACTTGAATTATTTTTTGGCAATTTGTCTTGATGCTGCTACATCCTGAACAACTCATCAAAAATAACATCTCTACTGATCACCATTTTTTTTACAATCAGATCGCTAAACTTGTATCCTTTCACACTTTGTTTGTAGCCCAGAAAGATGCACTTCTTGAATTTTGGGATAAGTTTTGATCTTTCATCACCAGGTACAAGCACATAAGAGGTACATGCACATAAGTAGGACAACAAAAAATTTGTAATGGATCAAATCAACTGCATTACCTGACCATTCCTCTTCTGCAACCTTGCCACTCAATAATGTCTGAGGTGATCTATTGATGAGGTAGCACGTCATATTCACAACCTCTGCCCAGAAGCTTTTTGGAAGCCCTACATTAGGTCTTAAGTATCTTGCGCTTTCAGTTAAAAACATGTTCATTCTTTATGTAATGTTATTCTGTTGTGGAGTCTTGCGCACTGAAAAATGCCTCTGAATCCTATGCTATGCTCCTCACAAAATTTATGAAATTGTGAATCTGTGTACTCTGTGTCATTATCAAACCTCAAGCACTTGATCTTTCTACCATTTGGTTCTCCACCTCAGCTTTCTACGACTTGAATTTGGAAAAAACTTTATATTTATAATTCCAGAAATACACCCAAACTTTCTTAGAAAAATCATAAATAAAAGTAACATAATATAGAGATCCTCCCAATGATGATTCCCTAATAGGACCCCATACATAAGAATGAACATAATCCAAAATCCCTTCAGTTTTGTGCTTTTTAGTCATTAAACTCACTCTAGTCTATTTACGAAAAACATATAACTCAAGAAAATCGAGCTTGCAGCTTTTAACACCATGTACCAGATTTCTTTTATGCAATTTAGTCATCTCAAGTTCAATAAGATGACCAAGACGCATATATCATAGTTTTCTATTATCATCACATGACTCAACAGAATGAACTCCACCTACAACTATACTTTCTAACTATTTGTAGATATTCCATGTAGTTAACTTTCCTTTGATCACAGTCAATGCACTCTTAACAATTTTAATAGTTTCTCTATCCTCATTTGTTTTAGGAATAAAACTGTTTTTATGTAAAATGCTAAAGAAATTCAATTTTTTTTTAATTTGGAATATGTCTGACATCACATAATGTTCTAACAGTGTCAATATACATCTTAATCCCGACCACCAATACCAACTATATTGCAACATCTATCATCACCTAAATTGTCAGAGCCAAAATTAAATAACTTGTATGAAGTAAACCATTCTCTGTTAGGTGTTATGCGATAAAAACATCATAAATCAAGAATCCATATATCCATAAAATGAGGTAATGAAACTGAAAGCATATCACAATCATAGCAACACAATCATAACAATCAAAATTGTCACTCTGTATCACATGTACAAACTTGGATGATGCAGCATGTTTCTCATCAGTATGTTTCTTAAGCATTGGACAATCTCTCTTCATATGTCTTGGCTCTGTGCACTTGTAACAATGAATCGTCTTTCTACATTTAAACTTTGATCTGGAAATTTGTTTTCCATAACCCTCATTCTATTGCTTCATTTCACTATCATGATTACCCTTAACATATAAACTGTCACCATGAGAGCTTTTTCCTGCATTCTGTTCCTGCATTCTGTTTCCGCTGTGGTTGTGAACCAACAATGTTGCAATAATCATTAACTTTGATTGTTTCTTTTACATATGTAAGAGTAGTTACCACTTGTTCATAAGAGGAAGGCGATGAACACAACAAAATCATTGTTCGGTATTCATCGTCATTACTCACAACAAGTCATGCTAAATCTGTGATTATTTCATTGAGACATTCAAGTGATCCTTTAGATCAGAGTCGTCTTGCATCTTCAGGCCATACAGATTTTGCTTCAAATACAATTTATTCGTAAGAGATTTAGACATAAATTGAGTTTCCAACTTCTTTCATATCTCTCTTGAAAATTTTAGTTTCATTACATGATACATAACCTCACATGTCAGGCATAAACCAATGGTTGTTGTCACTCGTTGTTGCAATTCTTCTCAATCTTCATCTTACATGGTATGTGGTTTCATTGCCCACAAAGCCTTCAAGATCCCTTTTTTGCGCCAACAATTCCTTTACTCTTGTTTTTCACAATCTGAAGTACCGGTTCCATCAAACTTCACCACTTCAAATTTTGCACTAGACATAACAATCTTAAATTACTCAAGCGATCTTCTCAGTCTCGCATCGAAGCCAAGTTGCTGAACCAACACTTCTGCGCTCAAGCCTTCCCTGAAGCCCCGCCGGTCGCCAAATTTGTCGTATAGCGTTCTTCCTACGGCGAAGTTCTCATCGCACAACCACTACAGCCTTTGTCGAACCGTCGCACAACCATCTGTGAGCCCGTATGCCTTCTCTATCGCGATCAAAAGTGTCGTGATCCAATTTGCCTTTGCCGCACAATTGTTGAAACCCTTGTCGAACCGCCGATCTTCGTCCTTCCTTTTCTTCCTTCTTGTGCCGAACTCTTTTGCCCTAGAACCACTATGTAATACCTATTATTGATAAATTAGGGCAAATAAAGGAATCAGTGAACACAAGAAAGAACACACGAATTTAACAAGGGTCGGTAATTTGCCTACATCGTCGGGAGCAAGAGCGGCAGCTTTCTGATTCAGGAAAAAATAAACATACCCTTAGGGTTACAAATACTTTTATATATATATATATATATATATATATATATAACCCTAGTGCACAATATGTAATTACAAAATTACCAATATATTCGTATCACGGGCGCGTTGCCCCCGCACCCCTTATCCACTTAACAAAACTCCTTCGATTCGACAGATACTTCCGCTCTGCTGACTCACTTCATTCCGCTCTAACATCTGTACCTTACCTAGTATATGAGTCATACCTAACAACTACAAATCAATATTATACGCCGCAATTGCATATTTGATGATTGATACTCATCATTGAAAATAATAAACACAATTTTTGTGTTAGATTTACAAATGAACAAATAATGTCATTTATTTAATTTTAAATTTATTATTATTACAATTTTAAAATGATAAAATTTAATTATTTATTCAAGCAAAGAGAAAATCATTCACGACGAGACAATCAATCATGAGAAGAAAACGCTTCACGAAATATTTTACATGTAATCATTCATGTCAATAGAATGAGAAAAAAGCTTATATTAAATAAAAAACAAAATCTTTTTTCAGATTTCATCATTTATTTATTCATTGTATATTGTTAATAAAATCAAAAACAACTATTTGTACAACAAAATTAATTCAATAAAAGAATGCGAAGCACAACATAACATATTTTTAACATAAAAGATTGTACTTTGTACGAAAATAATTCAATAAAAATATTGTATAGAATTCTATTGTTACAAATAACTTGTTATTCTCGCCTCATTAAGAAGCTCGTGTTGATCTTATTCGTTAAGTTAACGAGCCAAATACGAACAACACGAACCAATATTTATTCAATCTTGTGCTCGTTTTAGCTCAAACTACTACCAATCAATTATATATATATATATATATCTTTAATGAGTAATGTTTAAAAAAAAATTAATTTACTACAAAGCTATAAAAATTTATAATCAATTAAAACATTAATAAAAATAATATAATAAAAATTATTAAATTAGATTGAAATGATGTTTTAAATTTTACCTCAATCCTCAATTTTATGGGTACCTGATTAGACTGACTTTTTTTTTGTGAACGGCTTTTTGTTCGTGATTAGGGTTGTCAAAACAATTTTTTTTTTTTTTTTCATGAACGACTTATGAACGGCTCGCTAAGCAAACGAACCGAACACAAATACACTTTTTGAACTTAAAATATAAACGAGCGGAACAAGAGATAAGAAAAAACAGTAAATCCTAAATAAAATATAATCACCTTACATAAGAAAACAACTTGTTAAATAAATAATACAGATAAATAAGATCACACTTTCATCCAAATAGTACAAGATAAAAACACGATTTTAACATTCAAACATTAACATTGGATTAATAACTTCAAGCATTAGTTACAGATTACGTCAATATATTAGAACTTTAATTAAACATGGCAAAATAACAAAAATATAACATAGCAAATGCATCGACAACAGCTAGAAGCATCGCATGATTCGCAAGCCACGAACTGAGCCATTCTTCTTCTTCCTCTCCTCTGTACACAAAATGCTTTCCTTCCTTTTTTTCCCCCCCCCATATTTCCCTTCAAAGTCCCAAAACAGAACCGCCATCTTCGCCACCTTCACAAATCTACATTTTTTTTTAAGAAATTTTAAACTATATTCACAAAGGAAAAAAATAGACATAGAAGCAGCTTTCTCCTCCTCTTCCTTCCTCCTTTTTTTTTTTTTTTTTTAAAGCATCACATGATGAGTTCAGAAACCCACCCAACATCAGGAGCCGGGCTGTTGTCGAGCCGTTCCAGACCGCTTTCCTTGCTCAACCTTTCATACATCTTAGCCCGAAGAGCTCGCCCAGACTCCACCCTCTCCACCGCCTCCTCTACCTCAGCAAACCCATCAAAATCAAGCCATCCTCGTCCAACAATCGCCGGAGCCTTCGTTGGCGTTGAAGGCAAGCTACAAAAACCAGATCTAAAACCAACTCCAGATGCACCCAGCCCACCCCATGAACTTGGCATCGATTTAACCTTACTAATCTGCAGCTTTCTCAGCGAAGCAAGCACGTCGTTAACACTAGACCCCATCGGTGAAACCGGCGGGGACTCTACCGGCGGCGACAAGGGAGGAGAGATGAGCGTCGATGTAGGCGAAGACGAGATCAAACCCTTCGGAAAACACCCATCAAGCCGCATCGGAGATCCATCGTACGAATCCATCCTCTGCTGCTTCTGATGAGGCAGATACCTAAGCTGCTCAGGCGTGTGCGCAAAAAAACAAACACGACGACGACATGCCGTCCCGTCTTTACAAGGCTGAGTCCGATACCTCGCTGGGTGAAGCCAACACTCAAAAACTCCATGCGCGAATTCACACGCATCACCTCTTTTACAGTTCCCTTTGCGAAAATCAGGGCACGCCACTCCAGAGTAATGAAACTTCCTCGGATCACGCCGGCGAGCCTTTTCGCCGGGATGAGCGTAGGGGCACTCAGTCCAATCGTGCGATCTCCCGCGCGCACACCGCCTGACTTTGAACTCATAGATTCGAAACTCATCGCAAGAGTACGCGTCGATCGGAGGATCTGTAAGCTCGGCGTCCTCGTCCGGGTCGTGCTCAAGCGCCACCTCATTTGCAGGAAGATATCGCTGAAGCGCGGCGAGTCCTGCTTCGCTGAGAAGGTAGTCCCCGGCGGCGGACAAATGGAACTGATCATCGAACGGCGACCATGGAGGCACGTCCACCGTCGGATTACGGTAACCACTGTCACCCATCATCATCTTCTTTCCGTCCTTCTGCTTCTCGTAGTTTCTATGTTTATTTCGTGGGGTGGGAGGGAGAATATAAACCGGAAGCACATGGGTTGAACGCGGGTTAAATATATAACTAGGGTTAGATTGACGGGCACGGAAATGGAGACCTGACGGCGTTTGAATGGTAGGGAGGCGGTGGAACGGGGCGATATTGTCGAGATATCGAGGGAGAATGTAGCGGTTTTGTTTTGGCTGTGGGGGGACACGTGGCGAGCGTGGAAGGAAGCGGAGCGCATGCGGATGGCGAAGTGTTGTTGGGGGAACAGAATTGGGTAGACACGTTGCTGCTGCTGGATTCGGTTTTGCGCGGCGGGGTGCTGCAATGGGTGAATCTGGTCCGTTGGTGTTGGAGTAGAGCGAAACGGACGGTTTTGACGAGGATTGTTTGGGTGGCTTGCGTTCGCGGTGGAAAAGAAGAGGGGGTGGATTAATGAGCCGACGAGGTACGAGTCGGACCGGTTCCGGCAATGAACCGGCTGTTTTTTTTCTTTAGTCCGGGAAAGGTCAAGCTCTAAGATTAATATGGAAGATTTGGATAGGTAATTTCAGATTAACAAATTGAGGAGTGTTAAAAATAGATTTAGCTAGTTAAAAGGGGGTTATTTTAGTCTTTAATTTTTAAAAAAGTGTCAAATTAATTTCAAATTATTGAAAAAAACTGAAAATAGTCCCACATTTTAAAAAAAATGAAATGTGGGTTCAATGTGTTAAAAATAGGGATATTAAATATAGGGATATTTTTAGAATGTCATGAATTAAAATTTAAGAATATTAGTGTGAGATATGTATTAAATAATTATGGATATTTAAACATAACCAACAGAGATTTGTTTAATTTTGATTATTTAATAATTAATGTATCAAATAATTAAGAACTTTAATTATCTTAAAAAAAAACATTAATGTAATTTTATTAATAATTTTTATAATTATAGTAACTTTTGAGTGATAATATAATACTGATGTTATTTTATATTACTCTTAGCTAGTTATATAAGAATTTACATGAACAATTTAGAGGCCTAAATGAATATACATTGAGTTGTGTTTTAGGTCTCATTAATATTATGTAAATAACATATTTTAAATAAGGACTTCGAGTTAAGAAAAATGCACTCTTAAGAGATTTCAATAAATTTGAAGAGTTTAAAACCATATAAAAACTGCTGAAATGATAAAATTTAAAAGAAAAATTAAACATATAAAAAAAATATTATAATTTCAATGAACAACCACCACTAAACAAACTATTAAGAGATCTTTGTGATTTTTCAAATTTAATATATATATATATATATATATATATATGTATGTGGGCGCGCATCAAAAATATGGTTGCACGCATCTTGAGGAGGTTCAACAGATTGCATGGAGAAAGCAACAAAGAATTGAGCTATCTAACATCAATTTTGTTGGTGGAATCATGGGTCGACCGAATGAAAGTTCGTCCAAACCAAAAACGCCATGCACCGAGATCAACGTCAACTTAACCGATGCAAAGACATTCACAAAATCAACAATCGCTTAGCATAACTCTTACTCAACAATCTATGAAGACTTATCAATCGAAGGAATGCTACCTGTTAGATCACGGTGATGCACCCTCTAACTGACGAAATAATCCTTCCTGAGGATAACCAATATTCACGATGGAATCTGTAACAAAAATCAATCGAAGATTTGTTTATCGGTCAAATGACTTTCGGCTGACCGAACGAAGATCATACAACCAAATCGAGCATTTATGAATATGAAATGGTACTGGTGACGATTGCAAATACGGAATGACACCGGCAACAGTTTCCAAGGTCAAAAAATGTCAAAGTTGGTTACAAATATGTAAAGATGTAATGAATCATAAATTCTTTATAGCATTTTCATTAAGTGAGGGACAATCAAATAATTTAGTAGACACCCCCTATGATCTATAAATAGGGGAGTCATTCTCACATAAAGAAATATGAAATCTATTCAGATATGTATCAAACAATCATGTAATTTCTTGGATGTCTTGTGTTGTTATTCGTGATATTACTTATGTTGTGTGGTCCCCGAGTTTCAATTATATACTAAATATTCCCAACATGAACTACTCAAATTTCCTAAGTGTTGATCGAACTTGGGATCATATGTTTAATTAGTAATATTTTTTGTACTTTTTTCAGAAAATTATTAAAATATTACCAGTTTGAATGATAACTCCATTTTGTTTATTCATCGTGGTACAAAATCTTCTAAGCAAAAAGCTTCTTGAGGGTGTCTCTGCTCCATGTCTGAGAGACCCCCTTTCTAGTGTAGGTTTGTAGCTTGTAAGCTTCCTTGGTGACTCTTTGGTCGATGATGAATTGGTTAGCCCAAGTCTAGTCTAGCTTGCCGACTTCCTGTCTACACACACCTGGGTAAGCCTTCTTTAGCACAAGATCCTTGGCGGTGAAAGTCTTCTCTTAAACGTGTCTGTTCTAGCAGAAAGCCCTTCTCTTCTTTACTTTCTCTAGCCAAAGATTTGAGTCGATTTTTTTCTTGTAAGCAAGATTGAGCGCAAGTATTTCTCCTTTGTTGTTGGCTTCCTACTACTTAGTCAGATTTTCTTTATCAAAAGCTGAGGCTGTCACGACTCTTTGGCTGTGGGGATTATACTCGTCCAACAACATCGTCACCATTTTGTGTGACATCATGAATGGAGTTTGTTTGGTTGTTGTGGAAGGTGTTGTCTTAACTGCCAAAAGAACAAAAGGAAGTAGCTCGACCCAATGATCAAAGGAAAATATGTTGAGATTTTCATACATATTTTACACTATTTTTTATGATATTATACTTTAAAAAAAAGTATTTTTGATGTTTTGTTGCAGGAATGATGAATTAGAGTCATTGGAGCAAAAAGACGCAAAAAGGAGCGAATTTGGAGCGAAAAGGACCAAAATGTGAAGATTTGAACTAGGGCGCCGACGACGGACTTTTCTCGAGACTCCAGAATTAATTTACTTAGAAGGCCCGCCGACGGTGAGCTCGACGGTTATGTCCGACAAAGCATTGGATGAGGACGAATTTTGGAGGGGTGCTTAGGCAACTCTTGGAAAAACTGATCCACATCTTTAAAGAGAGGACTTTGGCCAAAAATAGAGGGAAGAAGCTCAAAATTGAAGTGTGAAAAAGTGTAGAGAGTCTAAATTGTGAGGAATTCTTCGAGAGATTGTAAGAGTGGAGGGAAAGTGAGAGATTTCTTCTTTCTTGCCGCTTCGAAGAGGAATTCTGTGTGTTGTAAAGAAAGTAAGAGATTCAGAGGAACTTCGAGGAGTTTTCTTGGGGAGAAATTAGAGATAAGTTTATTTATTGTTGTAGTTTGTATGACTTTGATTTTATATATGAATTCTGAGTTTTGTTGTGTTTTCCCCCATGAAATCTGAGTAGTTTTCTTTGTCGTTCTCCTTGTCTTAAGATTTGTGAAATGATGATCTGAATTGGTTGAGCCATGAAAATGTTAAAGAAATTGTGATGATCTTTTCACTTTGATCTTAATTTACTTTCAATCTGGCCAATTGATTTGTTAAAATAAGTTGAGTTTTACAACTAAAGTGAAGATTACATTCAAGATTCAAGGAGGTTAAAGCCCTTGGAAGTTGGGTGCAAATAAATAGGAAAATAAAATTATCGGGCGTAGAATTGGAGATTTTAGAGCGACATACTAAAATCCCCAATTCGGTCATATCATTTGGGTGCTGAAGTATAGATGTTAGCCCTGAGATGAGGGGAACATGGGAGCTTCGAAGTGAGAGACGGTATCCTCCCAACCTAGCCGCAGATTCGGTAAACAAGCGTAGGATTAGTCAATGTTCTTTATGCCTGGACCAAAGGGTAAATAATATGTATGCTCCTATTTGACACAATACAAATTAAACTGATTCACTTTATCCATTCACTATAATTTCTTGACACGGAGAATGATACTTTCTTATATATTGAATATCACATTAAAAACTTCATTAGTATAATTAGTTATTTAAGAGTTATTAAAATTACATATTTATTTCAATTGCCTATTAGTTATAGATAAGCAAATTAAATTCCATTGTTGCGATTGAATATTACTTTTTCTAATATCTTATTTTGTATTTCTAATATTACTCCCTATGGGATCGATATCTAGGACTCCCTTAGAGCCTTATATTATTTGAGTGATACGTATACTTGCGTTGATTAGTGTGACTTTACAATTATTGAATATTTTATACATCCATCTTTATCGAATCTATAATTGTTATTAAATTTTGGTACAGTTGCTGACGAATTAAATCTTTTAGCAGCAGTATTAAATACTTATATTTTTAAGCATATATAAAGTCGCGACCAAGTTTTTGGCGCCGTTGCCGGGGAGTAAACAAGAATCATAATTAGAGTAACGGACAAATTAGGATTATTAGAAAATTTTTACTTGAATTGCAACTTATTTTCATATTTAGTTAATTGTTTTACTGTGTACTGATTTCAAATTGTATGCATAAATTTGGACCTGAAAATCTTATACCCTACAATTTAGAATTAGAACGCAATTAGAAAAATTAGAAGATTGAGAACATAACCTAGAAATTCTGATACAATGGAAAACAACATGAACAATCAAGGAATTGAAAATGAACACCAACCTAGACCCCTACGAGATTATGCAAATCCTA